GCTTCTGCTAAACATTTTCTTTCAATGTTTTTTAACCCATTGAGTATTTGAGTGTCAGCACTCTCCCCCTGATGAGTAAATAGTCTAGTGTTAGACAGTAAAATAATCTGGCGTTAGGCAGAGTAAAATAATAGACAACTGGTTGATCATTTGAGCAGGGATAACTGGTTGACCAGTATAAATCCTTGCAATGCATCACACAGTAGTCAATACATTTATATATAGTGTTGTGATAGTACTGAATCTCCTCCATTTCATTCTCTGCAACAATGCTACCACTGGGCGCTTCTTCCATCATTCGGTGTGTATGAATGTCTGTCAGGGCAAACAGGGTTTATTGGTAAATTAAAACAGTTATACAATCAGTTGGCTGATGTAATTCTGTTGGTGGAAGTACAGCTATCCAGCTCATAATCTTGACTATCTGGGTCACATGGTGGGATTGCTTGGGATATTGGTGATGTTGAAATTTCAAACTCCCAACAACATAACATTGTTATATTCTTTTTTTATACCTCCTTCCCGTAGATCATTAGAGTCGAAGAACTACATATGAAATAAAAATACGTTTAATTATTACTGCTGTATTTATACAACAATGGAGCATTTTTATATTTCTATTTTAATTTTTATATAAAAATCATCTCACCTTAAAAACACAACTAGAGTGCAGAATTTGTACCAGTGCAGGACTACCGCAATCAGCGAACAATTTCATTAATTTTTATCCCGTTTTTAACCACAGCTGGACAAAGGACTATTCTTCGAACTATCCGTATAACTAATTAACTATAAACATGAACCTCACGACATTCAAGCTCATCACACGGTAATTCTTCCGGAATCAAAATTAAAGGCTGTTTTAACACACAGAAGTTCGTGTCCACCCAAAAACGAAGCTAATAGTGCAAAAATCCACCATTTTACAAATTTTTTTCGATAAATCTTTCTGAATCACTTCTTTCTGAATCTCTTGAAACCTCGAGGTGTAAACACAGCGAAAGCCGACCGAACAATGACGGCGCAGAGCGAGAAATCGATAATATGTAAAAAACCGCGCCTGACCGCGTTGCATGCCGGTATAGTCCTCACTCCTCCTCTGATCTCGTGCATTCTTTACTGCAGTCTCCATTGATGTAGCTATTTTCATGGCTTTCTTAAAGTCGAGAGAACATTCTGCTAACAATCTACGCTGAATCTGTTCGTCATTTATTACACACACCAACCGATCACGTAACATCTCTTCTAAGGTACTTCTTGAAAATAAAATGTTCTGAAAGACTTCTTAATTCAGCTACATACGAAGCAATTGACTCGCCAGGTTTCCTGAATCGAGTATTAAACTTGAATCGTTGCACTATTGCCGAAGGTCTGCAAACGTCTTCTCTGACGGTTTTCCTGGCGTGGTTAAGTTCCGAATCAACTTATACGTCTTGCTACCACAAACACTCAATAATATCGCTCGTTGTTTATCTTCGTCGTCCACGCCATTTGCTTCGAAATAAAATTCCAACCGCTCAATATACTGACTCCATTCCTCTTGTGAGTCATATTTTTCTAGTTTTCCATGATTTGCCATTTTATCTCGTCGCCAAATGTAGTATTTTAACCTTAAAATCCAACTATGCTAAGTAAAACTCCCTTTTTAATGCTGCTCTCCAGTTCACCTCGAGGTGTCTGTTTTTCCCGCCGGAACTACTAACTCCCGGATGTTACATAAGGCCAGGGTCAAACGTCGAACTTTTAATGTACCGAACCTAATGTTAATGAGCTAGGTTCTTTGTTTCACTTCGTTTCCATTAGGTTCACATGAAAAGTTCGACGTTTGACTGTGGCCTAAGATATCCGTACTGACTTGCTGACAGACACACACAGAGACGCACACACGGGTGAGAATAAAACCTCCTAGGGCCGGTTGTATAACTCTTAACTACTTTTTAACTACCAGATTTGTAGTTAAATTGTAGTCAACTCTAAAACTTACGATTCTAATTGGATTCTAACTATAGTTTATACAATCGTTATTATATCTTGATCTGCATGCGTCATGTTCATAACGTTCTTTGAATTGTTACCATCCGAATAAATCATTTCTATAATACTTTTTGTATGTGGAAACACCACGTAAATCGCCATGCAATCCTATACAAAGAACTTAAATCATTTCTACTTGACCGCTCCCAGTCCAAAAGAAAGTGAGCAAAAAATTGCGACAGCGAAAGCCAGTTCTTGCAAGTGGAAATGCAACTTTAGTTATGCACGGGGAAATTTAAAACGAAATAGGGGCCGCTGATGATCAATTTCTATATGTGTCCTTTCCCAACAATAACCAGAAACTGTTAGAACCTCTTCAACTATTAGAACCTTTTGTAGCAGTACCACAGTAAATTTGTGGTGGCCACGTCAATATGCGTGTCCGCCATTGGCCTCGTTTCCTCGTTTATGCAACAAATGCATTATCCAGTCCTAGTTTTCAGATCAATGGTCCCACGTAGCTATAGACGAAACGGATCTGAATAATTTGAACAACCCAGCCCTTAAGGAGCTTTTCAGCACCTTTAAACAATGTGTACCGAATTTAAACGATCTTTACCTCCGTTAACTTTTCATAATAATCAAAGTTTTTGTCGATCACAAAATTCTGTGGTTGGCTGGATTTCGTGGAGTTATTAAGCTGGCAGTTTCTCGAGGATTGGCGATTTTCTCTTGCTTTGTAATTCATTGATTTGCAACTGGAAGGGTTTCTCAGACAATGGTGAGCATATTCTTTGACACCGAACACTTTTAGTTCACTGCTTGGATGGCTATCGGGGCTGTAGCCTAAAAGAAAGCAGAATAACACTTTCAAGAAAGAATGTTTTGTGGACCCTTGACTGCCATCGTTTTCCTCGGCTGCCTCATCCAGTCAATAAGTATTTTATTGCTAAATAGCCGTAGGGTGTGTTTTTTCAAATTTGTGTTAAAATGAAGAATGTAAAAGAGAAGAAAAACATACAACAGGCAGCAGGATATCCTGCTGCAACCGTTAAGTAAGTTATAGTAATTAACCAACAACAGAGGGGACATTTTTTGGTACATCCTGTACAACAAAACACTTAATGTTTGTTCCCTAGGGAAATAGTTTGTTTTGTTTTCCCTCGAATCTTTGAAAGTCTGAGTTTGAGAACTTGCTATCTCCCTCGGGAGCAGACATTGAGTGTATATTATATACAAAGCGTGAAAGGAAACAAAAAAGAAACGAGAAAAATCCCTAATTTTTGCTGTTAGAAAACCTTAATGTTTCGTGTATACACAGGGTGTGAAAAAGAAATAATCCAACTATAAATTTGACAGGTTATCTTGCGTTAATTATTACGTTAATAGGTTTTCTGTTTTCGTATTTATAAAAATGAGGCTTTTAGCTTTTAAATGACACACCTTTATTAAATCATTGCGATAAAAAAAATCAAATACGATCTGATTTATATTTTAGTGGTCGGTTGAAATCGCATTTTTCCACATTTAGTAGTCAATGTTCTTCCAATTTTCGAACATTTGCCCAAATGCTTGTTGCCCATTTGCGAAACGTATGGCATTGCGAGTTCAGTATACAATCTTCTAGTTGTGTAAAATGTTTCAACCACTCAATTTCTATGCAAAATTGTGAGTAGAAATTTACCAAAACTTGATGCTTATACACATAGTACGTTGCGCCATCTTGATTCAAGCAACTGAATAATTCTTAAATTGAATTCCCAAACTCAGACAATAGCTTTACATGCAATTCCCAAAGTTGGAAAAAATGTGATTTCTAATTTAAGTCACATCATATATTGGCTATTTTTTTATGACAATGATACGAGAAATGTATCATTCGACATTTCGACAGCTAAAAGCCTGATATTTATTGGTATGAAACAAGTAAATGGATAAACGTAATACATAATGCACAATAACATGCGATAGTTGGATTACCTTTTTTTTACGCCCTGTAGGCGAGATTTTAATGCTTGTTTGTGTTGCATATACCACATACCTGAAGCAGATAAACTGAACAGATCACTCGACTTCGATGTAGCACGAGTGTCAAACAGCAGTGTGAGAATGATGGACAAAATTAATAGATACTGCCCGTCGTGCCTGAATATTTTAAAATATATGGTGAAGAATAAAATCGATTTTAAAATTCCGCACGTCTATATATATATGCGTGTCTATAAACAAAAACAAAAATACGTTATTAACGTGTTTCAAATGCCCATGCATACATGCATTAGTTGGGCAAATAAATACCTGGGTTTCCTATTTCTTGTTGGAAAAACTCGCTATAGGTCGAGTTTTCTTTTTTTATTGTAACTTCTTTCTTTAACTAACCTGCATGAGAGTGATACTCTATACGGAGTTAAACTACGTGCGGCAGTAAAGATAATTACACAAACCGTACCATTTTTTTTAAATGTTATTTCAACTTTAAAACTTTAAGCAGATTAAACTTTACATAGCTATTATAAAACTAACGCCACGAACTGCATGGGTGCGAAAAATTGTTCCAAACTCTTTGCAAACTTCAGATAAAAAGATCAGTGATTTCACATGTGTTCAATAGCCAAGGTGGGATCTTGGGAAACCGGAAATTCTCGGATTCTCACTTTGTCTGTATGCTGAAGCAAATGTATAGCCAATATATTCTAGCTAATATTCCACTCTATATATGCCCGAACGTGTCCAAAAGCTATCTATGCTGAGTATGTAACACAAAATAATGAAAATGGTAACAAGGTGATATGATCATTATACAGTTAAAAGTAAAACAGTACACAGTTATTTTCAGTGATTTCCAGTTTGGTATTCCTAAACATTTAGTTCTGAAATAATTTATTTGTTTCTTAAAACGTGTTTATAGACTTGCACTTTTTGCTGCGATTCAGTGCGCTTTTCTTCTCGTGATGCAGAATGAGTAGTCGATGAGTTATGAATGTTCTGAGTACATAGACCATCTGAAGTTTTCATCTGCTCGTTCACATCCATCAAAAGAAAAAAATCGCACCTAAGTCACCTAACTACTCCCAGCAAAAATTGCAAGCGTAAGCGGGCCTTTAAAAACTTTCCATAACATCCGCATGCATTTCTCAACCATGACATTCATAGTGCATCATATATATGGAAGTGTTTTTCGATTTTAACGACGTTTTCTACTTATATAGCAACATTTTTCATTCGTTTTTAAAACGTTTAAAAAATTAATGCTTTGCGTTTTTACTAAATTTTTCAGTCACTTTATACGGTACAAACAATGTACTATATGGAACTTATAAATACAGTGGACTTGATTTCCGTGAAAATTAAAACTTTAGTCAGCTTAACCACGAGCGAACTACATGAAATTGTCGATGTTAACGTTTCATTACCTGTATACGCTATATAAATAATTCTGTCAATCCGCATGCATGCAGGTGATTTTAATCGTAATCAATTTCATCTTCATTTTTTTAAATTAAAATATTCCTTATGTTGGCGGTGTGCGCCAATCCTGAAACAAATTGTTCATCAAACTGACTTAATGTATTTGTGGTCAGGCATGCAGGGAATATCTGCTATTGAAATGTCAATTCAGACATCTAAGATTATATTTTCTGCATATACAGGTTTCATAATTTCATTAGTTTATGAAGTAGCGCCGTACGTCAAAGGCATACCATATAAAAATAATAAAAGATCACTACCACATAGGGTTTATCCTGTGTATACAAAGGGATCACAAAACATCATCTGGTTGAGAATATATATATCTAAAATTCGAACTGCAAGGAATAGATGCTATTGATTTAGTTTGGATGCTAAATTTCAGCCTTTGTACTGAAAAATAATAACTTCCAGCCAAATAACTAATTATGCATGCATGCACGTAAACGATTACTTGCCGCCATACAATGTAAAGGCGAAATGTATAGTGTAATTGCAGATATTAGTTGTACAAGCTTTTAACACTTTCTGAGCAAGAGCTTTTCTGGCGTGGGAAATCAATTATTTCAACAGGC